GGTTCCATGCTAGAAGGGTTAATTCATTTCCTGAAAAGCCCAGGAATTTCCTTGGGGCTGTAGCTGCAAGTCCAGCTCAGTGGAGGACCCTGATAGGCCTTGCCTGCCTCAGGTCCGTTCTGTTAATGAGCTCAAATAAGTTTCTCTGTAGGGCAGGGAAAGGCTTGCAGGGAGGGAGGAGGAATGCCCAGCCAATAAACCTTCTCATATTTATAAGTTTCTCAATGATTCAGTGGTTAGCAAATGTTTGGCTTCACACTACAAGTATCAAATCATACTGTACTTCCCAAATTTTGTTCTTTGTCTAACCAGAATTCTGCCAAACACATACTCCGGCATACTTAATGAACTTAATCCCCTGTAGTTTTTGCATTCTTGCTATCTTTTCCATTCTATAGGGAATGGCAGCATTCTTCCAATCATCTGGCACAGATACTGTCTTCACACACATGTCGAACAAATTGCACAGCCATTCCACAGCCAAACCACATCCATATTATAATATTTCTCCAGTTATGTTGTCTACACTTTCAGCCTTATCATGTGTCAACATTGTCACAGGATTTATCTGCCTAAAGTCTTTGGAACTGGGCACGATAGAAATAAAATTATTTTCTTTTCATTCTTTTTTTTGAGTGGGGGAGAGGAGGCTAACATTTACAGCATTTCTTTCAATTCTACTCCTCATCATATCACTATCATTCAATTATAAATCTCTAAAACTTCCCTTCTGTTTCCTCACTTTTATTTCTATTTTTTGCCAGGTCCATTTTTCTAAAGATGTACAATAAAAAAATTGGTTTATCCCACATTCAGAACTACTCATTACTGCTATATCCTTCACTAATTCTTGTATTGTTCTACCATAAACAATCAAATCAATCATGCTTTTTATTCTTCATTTTCTGTGTGTATGCTTTCAAAACAAAGAGAGCTTTTTTTAGCTGATATCCACCAGTCACCATTCTCATTTGCTCTTGTATCAGATCCCTCTCTCTCACCCTATACCCGCCCAGCTCTTCATGTCACCTAGTGGAACAGTTTTCCCCTTGGATCTCATTAATTCAAAATGTTGCATCATTTTCCCCAAACCGTATTAACATTCACTGGAGTATAACAAACAGAAATCATCAAACTATGGATTCTTACTTTCATACGCACCTGCAACAACCTAGATGATACCAGCTCATACTTTTTGACATAAATTTCAGCCTTTTCATTCATAATGAAACCCACGCTTCCCTGCACACATTCATCAACCCCATTCCATAAGATCAGAGTCTTATATTCCTCAAAACTTGGATGTGTTTCTTGGGTAGAGATTTTCCAATCAAGGTGGACAGTTTTGACTGAATTACTCTGCATCTCAGCTTAAATGTAGAGGTATTTATTTATGTAGTGTGAGCTAAAAATATTCTTGAAAAGTTTTTAGTTTTTAAAAAATCCATCTACTTTTCATTTAGCTTAGTTTGCCTCTAAATACTAAATTCAAGATTTCACTGGAAGGAAACATTTAAGAAAAGCCTCTTTCGTAAAGCACAGATAATATTTGAAATGTAACGACAGCCTTTTCAGAGAGAGGATAATAAATGCACAAGGCAAAGCATACTTCTTTTTTTAAAAAAAATGAGCTTGTATTTCAGCAGCAACTCATTTTCACCTAATCACCATCCCCATTTTTAAACTAAAGGAAAAAGTAGATTTTATACAAATTTCTGTAGCAAAGCTCTGAAAGTACTGAAATGAAGCATTTAAAAGAGGAAGGCTGCTTATCCTTTAATTACTTCCCTCCCTGGTCGCTAGTTTGGCATTTCAAATACATGTATACCAGAATGAGGTTGCTGAGTTGAAAGATATGCCTGAAATCTGAAACAAATTGAAGAGATTGTGCAATTTTTCAGAGGGAGTTAAAAATAAGAACCAGTCACTTTAGCAGACTTACCCTGAATGCTATCTGCTGGTAATAGATTCTATAGTTTCTAATAGAAAAATTGTAATAGGAATGCTGAAGCAGGCTCTCTCTGCCTTTGGACATCGTCGTTCTAATTTTATACTGTAGGCAACTGTAAGGCAGTTTTGTTGCAACAATTCAGGACCACAGAGATTGTTGTAAAAGCTCCACCCTTTTGTACGTACTTCTGATTTCTACACATGTACAAAAGGGGTGGGACTTC